GGTTCTTGAGGATCTGGGTCACTCGATCCCCTGACAGACTCTCAGGACTTGCTGGGTGGACTTTGCTCCCTCTGAGCAGAGCTCCCCAGGGCTCACCAGCTGTGGAGATGGGCCCTGTGGGTGGGGGCCTGGGGCCTCCAGAGGGTCCTGGAAATGAGGACAGGAAGAGGGTGAGAGGCGTGGGCTGAGCCTGGACCGATATCACACAGACACCCTCTTCCATCTGAGCTGTGGCCCCTGAGACCCTCCCACTGCTTCAGTATCCAGGAGAGGAGAAGAGAGTGGACAGGTTGGGAGGCCTCTAAGGAAAAGATCTCCTAGGGGTGACCATTCTAAGAGCAACTCACTCCCTTTCAGTCCACAATTCTGCTGGGGACAGGACCCTGAGCTGACAGCTCAGCAGACAGGGTCAGGGGCCCTCACCTGAGACCAGGAGCACGAGGGGGTCACTGGGGAGTGATGTCAGGAAGGGGGAGGAGCTTTGTGAGCTGTAGCACCTGTAGGTTCCCCCATGTGCAGAGGTCACAAGGCTCATGGAGAACTCCGCCTGGTACTGCCCAGCTCGGTGCTTTGATCTCAGACGCAGGGGGGGATCAGCTGCCCCCTCCTTGGACAGAAGGAACGTGTCCCTCCAGCTTTGGGACTGACACAGCAGGGTCACGTTCTCTCCTGAGGCCACCCCAGGGCTTGGCTGCACCAAGAGGGCGGGTGTGTCAGGCAGGTGTCCTAGAGAGAGGGAGGGAGCGTGAGGGCTGTCTGCCCACCTTGATCTGACCTGAGAGTCACCAGGCCTCTCTCTGAGGACCCTCCACTCTGTCGGTCCCTGTTCCTCTGAGTCTCCTCCTCTCCCCTCCACCTCCTGACTCTCTAACTCTCTCCCTCCCTGGGACTTGCATGTTCATTCTGGCCTCACCCTTTGAGGCCCCAGAAGGGCCTGTGTGGAGTCTGGGTCCCAGACTGAACCCACTAACTCCTTCCTCACCTGCCACCAGGATGTCCAGGGGGTCACTGGGAGCCGACCACTCAGAGGAGAGGTTGTATCCACCGTAGCATCTGTACCGGCCCCCATGGGAGCTGCTCACAGTGTCCAGGGGGAAGTGGGCCTGAGAGAGCCCAGCCTGGGGCTGCAGGACAAGGCTCTCACGGAGGTCCCGTCCCCGCTCCTTCTGCAGAGCGAATCTCTCATAGCCGATATCAGAGCGACACTGGAGGGTCAGGCTCTGTCCAGAGGCCACGATCGGGCCCTGATGGCTCAGGAGGGAGGGCTTGCCAGACTCACCTGAAAAAACCACATTTGAATTACAGGGACTGCTCCTCCTATAAACACTTTCTCCTGTCCTGGCCCACAGGTCTCACTGTCTCTCTCCGTGTCTCTGGCCCAGGTACCCCTTTACCCATCTCACCATCTCCCATGGGGCTACACTCACAGCACAGATGCCAATTATGTATCCAGTGCCTCAATCCTTTGATGAGACAATATGGGACTTACCTGGAACCAAGAGCTCCAGGACATCACTGGGGAGTGTCCACACGTTGGGTCTGTTCCTATAACAGCCATAGCATCTGAACCTCCACCTATGTGTGGGGGTCACAGGGCCCACTGGGAACAGGGCCCAGGACTGCCCACTTGTCTGTGTCTGTGAGTCCACGGTCCAGGAGAGCCTGTGATCTCCTTCCTTAGTCAGAATGAACCTGTCAAATCCCTCCCATGAGACACACTGGAGGGTCACTGTCCCTCCTGAGGTCACGACAGGGCTGGGCAGGG